AAAATCGTATTGAAACGATGTTTGAACTGAATTGAACGAAAAGAAAGAAGATGGTATTGGGTAAGAGTGCACTTTGCTTTTATAAAATGTCATCCAATGGGAGAGAAAGTCCAATGTATATGATTTTTTTAGCATAGCTTTCTTAATTTTTCTTCCAAAAATCTTTGTGTAGATTTTCTTTGTCCACTTTTAGGTTGGTGTAATTGATGAGTTAATTAGAGTGGTTCACTAATATATATAAATCAATTAATACGATTCACCGATCTAATAAAACCATTGAACTTGAACATATTCTATCTAAAATATCACGTCAAATCTTTTTTAAGACTCGTGAAATGATGTCAGCTCACTTGTGAACCAATAAAATCTCGCTTTAGCAGTCAACTTTGACTTCAACGGTTCGAGTGTTCTATCGTTATATATTCATACAAGGCTTGTTTTCAATAGAATAAAGTTTATACAAATAGTGGTGGGGTTGGTTAGTAAGGATATAGTAATCTCTTACCAGTAGACGCATTTGTTGAAAAGGAAAGACAATATTTGCTAATGTTACAAATGGTATCATATCTAGGGTGGAGTGCCAGCGAGTACTCAAGGCCACAAAGGGGGTGGATGGTGGGCTCCGAAGGGGTGAATTGTAAAATCTCACATCTATTGGAAAGACAAACGAATGCAAACTAGGACGCTAGGCCCGAAGGGGGTGGATTGTAAGGGTGTGAAAATTTCTTTTTAATAGACGCGTTTTAAAAACCTTGAGTGAGAGCTCGAAAGAGAAAGCTTAAAAAGGCCAATATCTGCTAGCAGTAGACCTCGGGGATTATAGACTAATATTAATAATTTAAAAATAAAAATAAAAACTTAGGTGTTTGTTTGAGGAAGCAAGCAAAGAATAAAGTTTGAAATGACTAAGGAAAATGTTAATTGGGACCAAAACTATATGCTTTTAGCTTTTTGTTCAAATATTATTATGCATGTATATATATATATATATATATATATATATATATTATTTATTTTTGTTTTGTTTTCTTTATATTTTAGTTCCTAATTTTCCATTAAGAAACTATTTAAATTGAAACATTGGGCTTAGAAAAAATCTCAATGGCCCAATATAAAATAATTGGACCGAACACTTAAAAGGCCCAAATTACAATTTCCGTGAGGATTTGGGCCTAGAAAAAGTCCAGAGAAATTTTGGGCCCAAATTCACGCAAGTGACGACAAACCGGCAACCGCCTTTGACGACGACGTTTCATGAAGAGCTTCAAGCGATTAGAATAAATAGAAGTCAACGAAAAATTTCAGCCGTTGACATATAATGGGGCTCACCGAAGAGCCATATTGCAGAGTTTTAAAATGAGAACGACGTAGAGGATTTGAATTTTTTTTAACTCTCCGGGGGATTACAGATTACGCAAAATTTACCGGTTGATTTTCGGACGATCTGTCTCGTCTCTGAACGAATCCATTTCTCCGTCCTCTAAAGGGAAATTTCACCAATCCATACAAAAAGAGGAGGATTTGAAAAGATTCGAGAAGAGAGGATTCGATTCGCAGAAATTGGCCCCTGTTTTTGTTTCTGATCGATAAATTGATGTCCATATCCATGGAGATGCCTAGCTCGTGGGATGCTCTTCGCAAACAGGTTTGAATCATCAATTTTTTTCGTCTCTTTTCGGTTTTTGGATTCTGTTTGTCTTGCTATACTCATTTTTCTCGATTTGGTTGTATGTTTGGCCCTATTTCTGATTGTCGGTGACCTTGAACATTGCCGTTTGAGAAATGATGATTACGAGCGGTTTTCATTGTGTGTAATTTGAGGAATCAGGAAAGATTGATGGTTTGACTTTTAGGTCGTGATCTATAGCTGTTTAGGTTCGGCGATTGGCTAGTTTTGAATTTGGAGGATCGGGATTTTGGAATTTGAGATGTAATTCTGGTCTTGTGTTCTTGAGCGGGTTTTGTTATAATGACATTGTTGAAGCCGTTAATCGCAGGATTATAATTGTCGGCGCAATTCTTGTATGCTTCTTTATGCTATCTGTTTTTCTGGAAATGATAAGATACTCTATTTTTCGGACGGCGTTGTTCTGTCTCGCCAATTTTATCTCACTTCTTTTGCACGTATGAGAAATTATGTTTTTTCACTCTACATTGTCTCATCTCCAATCTTTGATTTCATTGTTGTAGTGATAATGTTTGTTATGTGCTTACAGGCAAGGAAACTTGAAGCTCTGTTGGATGAGCAGATGAATTCTTTTCGAAAATTGGTTTCAACAAAAGTTTCTACAAATGTTGATGCTGCAGAAAATGATGTTGAATCTGGGATAGAACGTTTGTTAAAGCAGCTACAACAAGTGAATTCACAGATGCAAGCTTGGGTCACATCTGGTGGTTCTGAAATGGTTTCCCATACCTTAACTAGACATCAAGAAATTCTTCAAGATCTTACGCAGGTATATCTTAATTTTCTTTTTCTACTAGCAATGTGGATCTTTTCGCATTAGAAGGGAGGAACTGCTATCGGGTACTTTGTTTTGTTAATTTTTGTCTCCTTCCAATTCATTCTGTTGATTTTTTTTTTTTAAGATAATCTGTTTTGAAGATTTTCCTTAACAACAGTGAACTCATGGATTTGGTTTGTCGTTTCTGTAATGCTAAGAACAAAACCTTGGGGTGTGTATGGTAGGTGATTCAGAAACAAGAATATAGAACACAAGGGATTTAATTGAAATCAGTGTTTCATTCCATGTTTTTTACTGTTGCTGAATATAGATTTTGAAAACACTAAAAATGTATAAATGTTGATTCAAGTACTATTTTCAATGAATTTAATAAATTTGAAAACAAGAAATTGAATTCAAATAAAATACCACATATGTTCTTATTTTCCCTTATTTTGATGATCTCTGCCCTCTAATTAATGATATTTTTGAATGGGAAGAGTGGTGAGAATGAGGGTAACCATTGGACCTCTTTAGGCTCATTTGTGAGACCTGGTCTATAATTACTCTATAGGAAGCATCAAGCTAAGCAGATAGACATAGTCCAGCTTCTGCAAGTTTCTTTTCTTTTGATCTTCATTGTTTTGCTACAGTTCCGTTGTGAATATGTCTCATATGGAATCTTAGACCAAGTTTTGTCGATTTAGTGCAGGAGTTTTATCGTCTTCGCTCCAGCCTCAGAGCCAAGCAAGAACATGCTTCACTTCTAGACGACTTCAGGGAGTTTGATCGTTCAAGACTCGAATTGGAAGATAGTCCGGGTTCTTCAGAACAAGCTCTTCTAAAGGAGCACTTATCTGTTAGCCGTAGCACAGGACAGGTATTTCTATTTATGTCATAGTTATTTGCATGAACACCATTATAGTCAACGTGAAGGTTTGGTATTGATATCTTTGATCAAGTTTCGTATTTGAAATGGTTTATTGACATTATGTATAAGTAATCATGTTCAGCAACCTGTCATTTGTTTTCAGTTTAGTAAACAGCTACTTACATATTGGAATCAGGCGTCTGGGTTTTTACTGAATTTTTACTGAGATTTACTGAATTTTCGTATTATAGATGGATAATGTGATTTCACAAGCTCAAGCAACCCTAGGTGCACTTGTCTTCCAGCGATCGACCTTCAGTGGCATCAACTCAAAGCTCAGTAACGTTAGCAGTCGCCTTCCATCCGTAAGTGATTTTATATATATATTTACGAGTTTTTTTTGATCGGTAACACAAATAGTTCTCAACTCAAATAGTTGCTAAAATGAGATTTCATACATGCATAATAGATCTGGTGGAAAGAATGTCGATTCCGGATGAAATAAGACAATGATGAATTAAAAAAAAAACATCCGACACTTTTTTTTTCTTCAAGTTCAATGATTATACGGAGGTGTAAGGACTCAAATTTTTAACCTTTTAGTCCGAACGTTAACGGGTGGCATAAATCCTTGTTGTGTTGTATTCAAATGGTGAATCCATTTGATTGATTTGATTTGAATGATGATCCAGGTAAATCATATTCTTGGAGCAATAAAGAGGAAAAAGTCAATGGACACGATCATACTCTCCCTTGTGGCGTCCGTATGCACATTTCTTATCTTTATCTACTGGTTGACCAAGTGAGTTGTGATTATGTTCTTGGAAACCGTGTTGAAGTTGTGAGCTTTTGTTGTTTCCATACTCTTTACAGGGTCCATCTTATCTTTTCTTATTGACTCTATTTGTAACGATTTTTACCTCAGTAATTCATTAAATATTCTTCATATTGTCGTGTCGCAGTACATTAATCCCTTGTCGGGTCGGGGTGGCATGGAGTGTATGTAATATCAACAATGTATATGCCTCGCTTGGAAACTGAAGTGGATAAAATACTCATGTATTCTACGTTATAGAGTAGAACCTTAAAGTAAAGAATGTACAATTACATTAAAGAACGACTATGCATGATAGTATATGTTCAAACACGTATGTTAGTATATGTTCAAACACGTATGTCTATAATTACCATTATCTTGGGGGCTATCTTGGGGGCGAGAACACTGCTACTCCTCTCTTAACAAACCCTTGGATCCATATTTTCTCAAATGTCTATAATTACAATTATCTATATATATGTATGTTTGGATTACTTTCTATATGTTTTATAGATATGACTCATTATAGAGCAAAATAGAATTGTGAATTAGTTTGTGTGCAATTAATGTTCACACCAATTTCGGTATAGTTCAATGGATAAGATACTCATCATCCTTAACAAGGTTGAAAATTTTAATTGTCATTTCACGTTTAGCATAGTTCAATAATAAGATATATAACTTCATATTTATTAAAAAAATATATAAGATCTAACTCATCTAATTAAAAAAAAAAGAAAGTAAAAATATCAATTTTGAAAATTTGAACAAAATATAAATGAAATAGCAAATTAAAGCAAAGCATTATTGAACTGAAAATTGAAATTTTAACCTAATTTTAAATATAAATCAAATAGGAAATTAAAGCGAAGCATCGAACCAAAAAGAGAGGGAAACCAGAGCGCGAATGGACGACGACGAAGATCCATGGTTTGCTCCCGACAAGCTCTACCACTTCCTTCTCTGCTTCACTCTCACCGTTTTCTTCGCTGCATTGGCCACACTGACACGGCATCCATTCATCCGCCGCCACTCAATTATGATTGGATCCGTTCTTTCTCTTTTCGCCGGAGCCGCCAAAGAGGTCGCCGATGAACTCGGCTTCTTCAAGTCAGCCGGAGCGTCTACCAGGGATGCTGTTGCTGATCTCATCGGCGTTTTGATCGCTTCTTTTTTTCTTCACGCTCTCAGATTCTTGATCCGCAGGGGTGGCGGCAAAGAAGCTAGCCCTAATCGAGACATTTTAATGGTCTAAGAGGCTTGGTTTTTCGAGCACTTCTGTACGAAAGTGAACGGTTTTATTTCGATTTAGGACTTAGTCCTTTGTGGCGATTTTGAGAAACGGAGGGATACGTTGGAGGTGAATTGAACTTCTGTGTTCTGTTTGAGAATGTGGTTTAGTTTTTCTCATTTCGGATCAATGTTTGAAATTGGGTTATAAATTATACACTAACTGAGATTCCATGGCATGATTGGTTGATGTTACTTCTTTTTTGTGTTGGTGAAGAAATATTAAACTTCATTTACTGTGCTATGTATATTTGAAGGTGAGAATTGTAAATTAGAAAAAAAAAAAAAGTATAGTTTTATGCTTAAAGTACTGCATTTCATGATCAGCGATGTGTTTAATTACGGAGTTAGCGATGTGTTTGATTAGATTTTCTGAACTGGTTGATTGCAGTATAGAATCAAAGGATCTTCATGGTTTAGCTCATTCTTTCCTTCCCATTTTGAGTAGTGTAAACATGATATCCCACCCTCCTGACTGGAATCCACACTCGTTCTTTCTATAATCAAAATGCTGTAGACTCAAGTAGTTATTTCATGAGATTAGTGAAAGTGTATATAAGCTTACCAAGAACTTATTGTATAAAAAAGAACACAGATTATGTGGTTTTCTGGATGTTGCCCCAATTGATTTTACAAGTCAACTTCTATTGCTTCATTTCAGATTACAAGATAATTCTTGGGAGTTTCTTTTTCATTGTTGAAAACTGGAAATCCTTTGTATCATCATACACAAGACCGATATCTGAACCCAGTCTGTCGATGCTGTTCTGTCATGTATTTGCTACCAAGAATTCATTTGGTTTTCCATCTTATTGTTCTTTTATGATCTGTATGTTCACTCAACAATCTAATGATCATCACGTTTTTCGGGTTATACAGGTAGATCGGGCGAGGGAGCTGTCATCATCTTCGAAAGCTTCTTGCAGTGGAAGGCAAGCGTGCATCGCCATCTTGGTCAGGCAACTTAATTGCAGTGTAGATTCCAGCTCCACACAATGTCCCTAGTATGGGAGCTGTGAGGTAAATCCATATGGCTCTAAAATTGTTTGCTGCAATGGCTGGCCCCAGTGTTCTCACTGGATTCATTGAAGCTCCAGTCGTTTCCCTATAGCATGATCAAAATGAAAAGCTTTTAGTTTGTTCCTTGTTTGGTGAAGGTGGTGAAATTGTTCATAAGATGCTCTAAATTACAAACTGTTTCCTCTTCAAAACTGGAGCCACTTAATTGACATCTACTTAACTAGTTCTAATTGCATCATACAGGAGGATCCACATTTTTTTTCTTTGAAGAACATGAATGAACTTGGTTAACCAATTATAGCGTTTTACACACTCAAAATCCACACACTAGAAAAGAAATAAAATAAATCATGAGCTCTAATACAGTCAACTCAACACATTTAGCGAAATACAAAGTGTTAGCTCAAGAGTATGATTGCCCTTGTCCAATAATTTAATGGGATTGTTTGAACATACCCGGCGATGAGGACATTGAGCATGACTGTTGCTCCCACAACGATTCCCGCCAACTCTCCCACCTGCATTTTCTTTTCATATTCAATCCCAAAACTTTATTTATTCATGCTTGTAATAGATAACTTTTAAAAAAATTTAAGGAATACTCAGAATAATAAGAGCTTAGGATTTGAAATAATTTAGTGGACCCATAGATATGTTAAAGACCTTTTTAGTAGTGTCAAGGAAGAACTAGTTTGGTTAATCCATGCATAGCTCCTCAATGAATCACAAGACATCAATTATCATCTTAAAAGGTCAATAATTCAATTCTCTACTCATTTCTATGTTTTAATTTTCCGAATGATTATTTGAATCCAAACAAATTCAAACTTAGAATCTTGAAATAATTATTAATATCTTGTCTAGTTTAATTGTTCCTAGGTTGGCTTGGTGTTACTTCCTTTTTTGTCTTAAGGTTTTGAATACATAGATTTTAACTTAGTTTTAGTACATTGAGCATTATTACTTGCACGTTGTATGACTAAAAATAAAGCTTATTTTTTTGTGTTTTTATTGAAGAAGGAAAGAGAAAAGAAGAGGTACTTACAGCCCGAGTATCGGTGGCAACGGCGGTAATGACAAACATGAGGTTGAAGCTAATGATAAACTCAAGAGCAAAAGCTTGAGAATATCCACATGAAGGAACAGTCACTCCTCCACCCATAAAGGGATCAAATATCCATTTCAATGCAAATGACGCACATAGAGAAGCTACTATTTGAGCTCCAATGTACACCGGCACCTGCAAAAGGCATATCAGAAAAGCTCAAAAGATTTTAAGCAACTTTTTTGAAGTTAAAAGATTGAATACCATGGAGATCTCATGGCGGCTACCTGCTTCCATGGAAAGTGCTTTAGTGCAGCGAAAGCAATGGTGATGCCTGGGTTCAGATGGGCTCCGGAGATGTGGCCGGTCGATAAGATGACAACCATCACTGCCATGCCTGTGGAGGCTGCTAGGCCAATGAGCGTTTCAGTTCCTTGTATCTTTTGGTTCACGATAGCAGTGGCAGTTCCAGCAAAGATGAGCATCAGAGTGCCAATGAACTCCGCTCCAACCTATTGATATAGCTTAACTGGTTAAGGTACATATCTTTAACTAAAGTGTTTGAGATCCATATCCTTCTGCCCAAAAAAAATCTCTATTTTAAAAATTTAGAAAAATATTTGAAGGAACTCTTCTTGAATATCACTTTGTTTTAGGAATCCTTTTGAATACAAGACAGTAAGGGGAAGACAATTGTCTTCTTCTTCCTTCTTTACACCATTGAAGTTGAAATGAAAAATTAGAGGGTTAAAATATAAAGTGACATTGAAAAGAGATGTGGTTCGGTGTAAAGTTTTGAACTTTAGCTACCAAAATGACATTTCCTTGTAGGGTTACCTTCCTTGCAAGTGAGACTTTAGATAAGCTTCCTTCTTCGGTGCCCCAATCATCAACATTGAAGGAGATGCAGCTCTTGAGAAGAGACCTTTTACCATTCTCACTTCCTTGGTGATTCCCCTTGTGTCCTCCAAACAGTGGGGCTCCGGGCGTCCCCGGCGTCACAGGCGAAGGAACTTCCTCTGTGTCCATAACTTGAAAGCTTGAGAGAAGAAGAAAGAGTGGGAACAAAGAAAGGTAAACTTTTTTCAATTTTGTTTTGGGGTTTGTCCCGTTGTCTTTGGAGAGTGAACTAAGCTGAATGATTGATTATTTATAGAAGAAAATTGGTTGACTTAAGAGAATCCCAAGGCAAAAAGAGAGAGAACACAAGTCACTGGCTGTTAATAAATTGGTCCTATCTCATCATTCTTAGTTTTGATTTTTTTATTTTCATCTTCAAAGTTTTTTTGGATTAGTTAAGTTATAATTGAGCTGATATCACAGATTTGATATTTAATAATCATTGTACATCTCTCAAATGCCATTATTCATTGTTGCCTTCAATAATATGGATCTTCTAAGATCACTTGGATATTATTTCCTATGATCTGATCTGAAATCAGGTATAATGATTCGATGGAATGCTATAGTTCTAAACAATCCTTTGGATGATGATTTTTGTTCTTGAGTCTTGAATTTTCATGATTAGATTTGGTTTTTTTTTTTTTATTATTTGAATGTTAGAAATTATTAGAAAAGACAAACTGTAACGTGGCAAACACTTGTGCACGTTGAATGTATGATTTCATTACACCTTGATATTCAAGGTTATATAGAAAGTAGACATAAATCAATATTATTTGAGCTAACATGTGCCTTTTTGTCTTAGAAAATCAAAACATGTGTGCCTTAGAAGGGTAAGAAAACATTACATGTGCCTCTGAGGTATAACAAATAAGATGTCTCCCTCATCCTTTCATTCACCCCTCCTTGCCAATGGGAGCAAATTAAGGCTACTAGCAATCAGCTAACTAGCTAGGGCAGCCATGGGAAGTTTCCTCGGGCTCGGGCGACCGAATAAATAAAGAAAATCGGTCGAAATGTACACAATGCGAACTATTTGATTCATAAAATATTGTTTCCAACACATGAATGGTGGTATATGATGAAGTATCCTTGAAGGTCTTTAGCTAATTAGAATTTTAATCTCCTATTAATTAAAATAAGTATAAGATTAATAAACTATGGAAGGTGATGTAGAGAATCTCTTAATTTACAAAAATAATAATAATAATAATAAAAATAATAAAAAAAAATTATATTTATTCCATATTTGTTTCATAAATATTGTTCTAACACATGGTTGATTTCGATCCATTATTTCTTAACTTAAATTTATTAGTCTTCTTTTTCATGTTAATTATAATAGTTTTGGTACGAGGACGACCTCGTAACACTAAAGAGAGTATCATAATACCATAAAAATATAGAGAATCAATACAAAAAAGTTGTAGTGTGAAGATGTTGAAAGCAGCGCTTCAATGCAGCAACATTTTGAAGAACAATCTAAAACTTACAAGCACAAAATACTATAAGGGTCCGACCTATTTACGGGTTAGGTCAAAATAACATAATTCGTATATATTCTAGCAAAAAGGTTTTTTTTGGATTGAGTGTGATGTAAGCGTTTCTTCTTTAATAAATGTACAAGGAGTATATTGAATTTTTGGGGTACGAATTTTCTTGTATCGGAGGGATTGTGTACTTTGTTTATTTCCAACAAACAATAGCTTTTGTCGGACTATTGAGGATTAGTTTTAGTTTGTATTTGAATTTTGAGGCCTTCTTGTAATCTCGAGATTGTAGTAAACCTTGAAATTACATAAGACTAGACCTAAATCGAGTTTGGAGCGAACTAGGTATAGCCTTCAACGTCGTTCTCTTTTTTCGTATCTCGTTTTTTTTTACTGTTTATGACTTACTTATTGCTTTCACGTATAATTTTCCTCCCGACATGTGCGTTGGTAGCATATATATTGTGAGGCTAAAATGACTCTCTTTTTGCCCTAAGAAAGATGCTTGTTTAAAGCATGGTTAGTGTGTTCAATACAAAAGCATCAATATTTTATAGATAAAATTAGGCCTTCAAATTCTTCAAGTGATTGAATTCTAACATTCAATTAAGATTATTCCAAAATTAAAGAGAATTATTAATCAAAATCAAACAAGAGAAGTGGGGAAGGACCCTAAAAAGTTGAAGATAGAATATGAATAGGTGGTATATATTTGGATCCATGTGTGACCTAAAAATGCCTTATTTTTTATCTATCTTCAAAGTTTCCCCCAATTGGGTGACAAAGAATTTCACATCTTTCCATCTTCTTTCGTCATCATTATTCACTTCTCGAACTTGTGCTAAAAATTTGAATGATTATCAGCTAGTTCGAATCCTTAGTTGAGATATTTAATTTGAAGAAATAACACAATACGGTTAAGAAAAAAGAAACATTGAATACCATAAATTTATCAAACCGAAGATAGCTCAACCTATTTAGGTGTATACCAATAAGTTGGAGGTTTCAATTCCCTTCGCCTCCATATATTGTTTAAAAAAAAAAAAAAAGAAGAATGACATTGATATTCATACGAGCAATATGGCGCAAAAGAGGCTCGAAGGCTTGCTACGGAACTTCATGCTTTGTGACAATAAAATTATAGTTGGGGGAAGGGAAATCAAAGTTGAAAAAATGGCGACGAAACGACCTGTATTATCGAACCACGCCGCTTAAGTACTTCTTGTTGTATTGATCTGCAACTTTGGACAACGATTGTATCGTAATTGGAAATCCAGGACCCATCTGCACATCAAAAAGAATAATGAATTGCTTCACTATTTATTAGACATTTAGCAGTTGCCTTAGCAGCATGAAGCATGGAATATCTTAAAGTTGCAGTGAAGATAAGCTCTAAGCTCGTCTATTATCAGAATGTTTGTAGCCAAAAACTTTCAAGATCCATGTTCAAGTTTGAAATTAGAAACTAATGAATGATTGAGTAACTTTGAGTATTGTATAATCCTAGTAGAATTCCTGAGGGATTTTGACACAATCATTTTAGCTGAACTCAATGGTTTTATCACTATGCCCCATATGAAATGTGGACACTGCAATGAATGGAACGAGGTTTAAAAGAATTACCGTGCTACATACGTGGAAGGAATTTACATATCCAGCATATTTTGAGGCTGCAAGTAATGACAGCATATTTTAAGTTCAATCACAAATAAACTTGCATTGATTTTTGGATATTCATCCACCACAGATTAAGAGAAAATGAGAGAGAACTTGCCTTTTTTCAAGCCTGCAGGCTTTGCAAGCAAAAGAGCATTCACAAATGCACCTATATTTTCTCGTAAGGACTCTTCTGAATGACTCACCTGCAAGAAATAGTTTACGTTATTTAGACTTTCTCTTTCGGGCTTCCCTTTAAGGTTTTTAAGACGTATTTGCTGGGGAGAGATTTCAACACCCTTATAAAAAATGCTTCGTTCTCTCTAATTGATGTGAGATCTTACAATCCACCCTCCTTCAGGGTTCAGCGTCTTTGTTAGCACAACGCTTGGTGTCTAGCTCTGATACCATTTGTAACCGTCAAAGCCCACCGCTAGCAGATATTGTCCTTTGAGCTTTCCCTCAAAGTTTTTAAAACACGTCTGCTAGGGAGAGATTTCCACATCCTTATAAAGAATGCTCCGTTCTCCTCTCTAATCGATGTGCGATATCACAATCGACCTCCTTTCAGGGCCCAAAGTCCTTGCTGGCACACCGCCCGGTGTCTAACTCTGATATCATTTGTAATAATTCAACCCTACCATTAGCAGATATTGTCTTCATTAGGCTTTCTCTTTCGGGCTTCCCTTCAAAGTTTTTAAAACACGTCTGCTAGAGAGAAGTTTTCACACCCTTATAAAGAATGTTTCGTTTTCCTCTCCAACCGATGTGGGATCTCATATTCACCATGTTGATTTCTCATAAAAACAAGCAACATACGTTCGACTAAAGTGATTTTTACCTTCCCAAGTCCCACATGAACAATAGACGTGGAATCCATTTTAAAGTGCATGTGACCTTCTCTTGCTTTCTTTAAAGCCCCTTTGATATCACTGGTCACAGTACCTAGGTATACAATATATCAGCAAATCTGAGTTCATTTCAATTTCTAAGAAACCAAGCACCATAGAAACAGAGGATTATGGGCTCACTTTAGGATCTGGTAGCAATCCACGCTGTCTCAAAATCTTTGAAATCTGAACAGTAATTAAGGTCAAACTTTGAGTAAGCTTTTTATATATATTCTGTAAGCAGCCATCAGCATAGAACAGCAGACCAAACCACAAAAATTTTAAATCCTATACACCTTGCCAATGCGCCATCATTTCAGGGGTTGAGAAACACTTATCAACATTGAATTTCCGACTGGCTGCATACACAGAGTAAGAGAAATGAAGTCCCAAACATTGATTAGCTACATATTCAAGTTTGATCATCAAACTAACAGGGCTAACTAGATTTTGTAAATCTTTTTATCATTTTCTCAATGACACTCCTAGAGAATATAGAGAGGCTTTAAAAGGGATTAGTTTCGTTAAATTTGGTGAAATTGAAATTTTAAGGAAAAAATTGACTCGTTGAGTCGAGTATAAGTACAAGAACGAAAATGAAATTTTCCCTAATAACAAAAAAGAAAACCAACAGGGTCAATTCTTACTTGCAATTTCTCCTATAAGTTCAAGGCCGCCTACAATATCGGCTCCTGCAGCCCTTGCTTCCTCAGCGTCAGCCCCTTCAGCAAAGAAGGCTACTCTGACAGTCTGAAAAGTAATGTATTTTTTTTTCAACATAGTAACTATAATATTGAGTTCCAACGTGACATGCTCATTCAAACAAAGTTCAGATGCTACCTTCCCAATGGAATGGGGCAGAGTCATGTTACCCAGAACTTGCTGCATTTCATAAAAAAAGAAAGCTATGAATGCAAACAATATTGCAGTAGAAAAAAATATTGTCAAATCTATGTAGAATATCACAGAAAGAATCAGCAGGAGAAATGAAGGAATCATTTTTATCTCATGTTCTAAAATAAAAAATCAAGGACGTGACTTTTGAAAGTTATTATTTTTTATCTCGTGAGTTTCTTATCAAAACTTGACTCTTCTCACAAGATAAATGTAACAGTCCAAACTCACCGCTAGCCGTTATTGTCCGCTTTGGCCTGTTACGTATCACCGTCAGCCTCACGGTTTTATGTAACAGGCCAAAGTGGACAATATTTGTTAACAGTGGGTTTGGGCCGTTACAAATGATATCAGAGCCAGTAACCGGAAGGTGCGAGGCATTGATCGGAGTAGGGCTAGACCCTCTCCATAGTATACGCGTTTTAAAATCGTGAGGCTGATAGTGATACATAACGGACCAGAGCGAACAATATCTGCTAGCAGTGAATTTTTGCTATTACAAAGGGTATCAGAGCCAGACACCGAGCACCGAGCAGTGTGCCAGCGAGGATGCTAGACCCCAAAGGGAGGGTGGATTGTGAGATCTCATATCGGTTGGAGAGGGGAACGAAACATTCTTTATAAGGGTGTGGAAACCTCTCCGTAGCATATGTGTTTTAAAACTGTGAGGCTAATGACGATACATAACAGACCAAAGCGGACAATATCTACTAACAGTGGGCTTGGGCTGTTACAATAACTACCAGGCTATACTACATCTAATTGTATAATATTAAATTCTAAGTAGGTGTTCATCATAGCTTGAACTCATTCTCAGTCATTCTCTCTAAGCTACTCATTGACATGGCTATTATTAAACAAAAAGGCGCCAAAATAAACAACTGATCATTCGAACAATGAATCAGACAACCAAATCATTCGTATATATGCCGTGTAAAGCTACTTCGATAACTCTATTGCACACACTAGTGCAGCTGCAAGGCCAGCTTCAATCAAACCAACAACACTTACCACATTCCAATCACCCAGTGAGTAAGAAAATTTTGAGGTTTCTTTAGTCCCCTAAAACTCCATTGTTCCTAAGCAATTAACTGAATCATTCAAACTCTATTCCTACTGAGAGATAACAGTCCATGAAGTACAGAGATAATAGGCACATTACCATTTTCCTGGCATCGGCCCCCAATCTTGCATGTGCTTCAACAGTCTCATCAAAATTTCGCTTGGTACTAGCCTGAACTTAATTAGAACAAATTAAAATTAAACAATGAGCCATTTCATAAGTTATAATCTACCACTTCAATGTTCATACTATTCATCACTGTCGGAAAACAGCTTTCTATTCTCTAGAAACGCCCTCAGTAGAGAAAATCCTGATGAAAAATTAAAATCATAAGCTTAAATACTGACCTTCACTTGCCGGATTGCGTCCATCAAATCAAGAACCACCTTCTGCTCCTTTTTCTCAACCTTGATCAGCATTGGAAATGGAGCAGTAACTTTATCTTCTTCCGAAACCCTAAAAACCCTCCTCCTCCACTGCATCTCCGCCTCAATTCTCTTCCTCTCCTCCTCCATTTGCGCACTCTCCACACTCTCTTCTCCTTCGCCCGCGGCCGAAACCCTGTCTTCTGGAAGCAGAGCAACACGCGACGGATAAGACACCGGAGCTATAGATGGAGTATCCTTCATATAGCGAATATCCTCGCGAGTCCACAACCTCCCTCCGGGCTTGGAGGCGGAGACTGGATCAATTCTGGGGAATCGAGGTCCTGAGCGGATTGGGGCTTGGGATTAATGGCGTAGGAAACGGGCTGAATAGGAGCGGAACGAGGGGTGGAAGTTTTTGGAGAGGATTCATTGGGGGGAGAATCAGGATCTGGGCTGGATTCGGATTGAGAAGAGGAGAGGTATCTGTGAAATTGAAGAAATTGTGGAGGTGAAAGAGAAGGGGGTTTTGGCAGGCAATGGCCGCGAGACTGAGTGAGGATGAGCTTCAGCACTGCCATTGATGGATTGAAGCTCGAGAAAAAAGAAGAACAGAGGACAGAGGTTTTAGAGGTTTTAGAGGTTGAAGTAGGAGGAGGTCGCCGCCAAATCTCCTCTTGGTTTAAAAAACCGGGTCGGGTCGGGTCGGGTCGAATGTGGACTAAATCTTGTAGAGGTAATGTTTAATTAGTTTTTAGTATTTTTATTGTTTATTTTTTTTTTTTTTTGAAGTATGAGAATTCAAAATCTGTATATTATATAAAAATTAAATGGACAGCCTTTATGTTTCTCTTTGTTTTGTTGGTCCTTCGGTAGAGAATATATGAACTATGTGACAACCGAGTAAAGGAGAGATACCAAAATTAAATGGACAGTCAAAAACGGTAGAGAATATATGAGCTATGTGACAATCGAGTAAAGGAGAGATACATGAATGAACTGAGACTATCATGTAACAGTTCAAGTCTAATGCTAGCAAATATTTTCCAACCCATGTAGGATTTTACAATTCACCCCCTTCGAGATCGTTGGCACACCGCCCAGTATCTGACTTTAATACCATTTGTAACCGCTCTAGCTCATCGTTAACAAATATTGTCTTCTTTGGACTTTTTCATCTGGGTTTCCCCTCAAGGTTTTAAAACGCGTCTGCTAAGAGAGGTTCCACACTATTATAAGGAATACTTTGTTCCCCTCTCAAATCGATGTAGGATCTCACAATACATCCAAATGAGAGCAATCATGAGGATAGAATGTTAAGAAAGACTTAAAAGAGTCGAAAGTTACCACCTAACACCTTTTAGATAACTCAATCATAAGAACTCCATGATTAATCTGTGGGGTAGTCTTCACTCTTACAAACGATGATCAAGTAACGTGGCCATGTTACAATACAATGTTGGGCTATCTCGTACCTAACTCGAATTTCAAATCTTGATCCATATCTAACCAACCTCAGGAAATGGAAGGAATCTTCTATCTTAGCTGCACAAGTAAAGGGGTAGTTAACTTGTTGTTTGACTTTGAGAGCTTCTTAGCTATAATTTTTTCTTCAAATTGGTAAAATATTTAAGTCAAAAGTCAAATTTTGGTATATATTTTTTTGAAAGTAGATGAATTATTATTCAAATTTATCATTAATTTACCAAACCCTCCACACCCACAAGGTTACTGTCCTTTACAATGTCTCAAGATTTCACGACATGTCGAAGAGAAAAACGTCTAAGCTATATTTTTAAGGGGAAAAAAAGTCAATATGACGTTTTCTTCAAATAATTTAATATGAGTTTGGTGAAGAAAGAGTTGAAGTTGGAGTCTTGTGCTTGACGACACCTACCTCATTGAAGTTCTAAGTGTCGTGTCATCATTCTCTATTGAACAACAAGCTTGATTCATTTCACACATACCAAAAAAAAAAAAAAAGTGTTTTATATTTTTATATATACTTCTCGTTCATGGTATCTGGGTCGTTTCTAATTTTTGTATTTTGAGTTTCATTTATTTGAGAGAGGAACGAGTTCCTGAACGGTTCTACTCTAAAAGAAAGTAATATGAAATGGTAAAATAATTAGGTAGTAGTAGGTGCATCAATGGTGAGAGTTCTTGTAAAGCTCTTCCTTTTTTGCCTTATAAAACCAAAACCAAAATGCTTACTCCTAACGCCCTCATTTATTCCATTCTCACCCATTCAAAATGCCCCTTGCTGCCGCCGCCGCCGCCGCAACCGCCGCCGTAGCTTCCGGCCAAACTGTTTGTGTCACCGGTGCTGGTGGCTTCATTGCCTCGTGGCTCGTGAAGCTCCTTCTCCAAAAGGGTTACAGCGTTAGAGGCACTGTCAGAAACCCAGGTTGGTGTCTTGGTTTATGTTTTTTTTTTTTTTTTTTTTTTTTTTTTTTTTTTTTTTTTTTTTTTTT